GAGATCACTGTGAACCCTCAGTTTGTGCAGAAGGTAACTGACATAAGGTCTTTCACAGAGAATGTATACTGAACTTAAGAATCTAAATAAAGTCAGATGTGGAAAGTGGGTAAACACCACACATGGTGAGCACTGTGCAAAAAGTGAGAGTGCAGGTTCTTTTATGTCTACTTTATTTTCCTGTCTCTTCTTGTGATTAGACGTTTTAGAATTATTCTTAGGTATACATCTGATGAAGTGAGCTGTAGCTCACGAAAGCTCATGCTCAAATAAATTGGTTAGTCTCTAAGGTGCTACAAGTACTCCTTTTCTTTTAGGATGAAAATAAATCTCCGGGAAAGAATTTTTACAGAATTAACTTCTCTTCTTCCCTTACAGAGTATGGGCTCTCAAGAAGATGATTCAGGAAACAAACCTTCAAGTTATTCTTGAAATTAACATTGGCCACTATTCTGTTTTAAAGTAAAAGCTAAAGAAAACCACCTTTTGGACTGGGCATTGAAAAGTCCTATGAAGAGAGCAGAGAACTGAGGCTTTCACCTGGACATATAGAAAATAAAATGACACCTTCTCAGTACTGTATGATTTCAAAAATATTCTCTGCAAAGAAAGGAAATCTCAAAGAAATTTTAAAGTCTGTTGTGGATTTATTTATCTTCAGATTAACATCGTTAATGCATTAAATAATCTTCCTTTTGTTTTAAATGGTTTGAATGTTGCTGTTTCTGTAGCAGTCCTTTTTCCTCTCCTACAAAATTTGTTTAAAGTGTGTTCAGGGAAGAATACAAACAAGTATGGGTCACTTATAAAAGACAATTATTAGTTCATTATTTGAAAGCATTTTGGACTCAGTTTGCTCTATAAATACAGATTTATTTATCATATGTATAGAAAAAGTAATTTACTTTATTTAAGAGTAACAATTTTTGTAAACTTACATTCTGTCCCTACCCAATCCAGCTGTCTATTAAGTGATTAAATATAAACCCTCTTCATCCCAAAAGGCTGAGAATATTACCAAAGCATTCCAGTGCTGGTATGGAATTAGAATGTGGCATTAGCTGGCTCTGCTGTAGAGTGCAAAAGGCTGTAGGGTCCTCTATATATGACAACTACTTATTTTATGGGAGTAATTTAAACACTAGTGGTAGGATTAATGTCCTTCAATATTAATGGAATATTCTTGCAATCGGATGAAAATTTCTAGAGCTAAACAAAAGGGTATCTTTAAAACCTGGATTTTGTGGGGCAAGACGAAGGTGAAGTCCAGTTTGCATTGAAAAGAACTCTAGTGGCTCAAGACTACATAGCCTGACATAAAGGCGCTTTTAAAACAGCCTGGAACTTGGCTGTATGTGAATTCAGTTTAAGTACAGAAGGTACTATAGAGCTACTCTTGAGGCTTACCTCTCTGTGGCACTTTTAATACACTACTAATATAAAAGCAGATTTGTCATATGGAGGTAATGTATGCTGGAATAGTGTTCTTCAGTGTGAAATCCAAGGATTCATTTCAACCATAGATGCTTTGTTGAATTATTTAAGTAGTTTACCCATTGAATCAACAGGTTGGCTGTTAGTTTTGCAGTTTTTGTATATCTGAAGCTTCTCATTGTTAAGAGAGCACTTTTGAAACAGTTTCTGTCACTGCTGCCCTCCTGCTGTCAGACATAAACATGTCCCTGAGTCAGATTTTTCAGAATTGCTCAGCATCCCACAGTGCCCACTTAGGTATCTCTGTGGGAGCTGCTGAGTGCTGAGCACCACTGAAGGCCCGCTTCCATGCGAGACTACTGTGGGGCTATGGAGCAGCTGTGCTTCTAACGCTGATATTGGGAACTGCTTTTAAAGAGCTCTAAATCTAGCAGAGCCGCCTTTGACAGAGAGATGCCCTCTCCAGTAAAAGGAAAAATGATGCCCAAGCTCGTCTGTGGCTGGTGTATGAGTGTTGTTTAAAACTGTTACCCCAAATAGCTTGCTCCGTTATTTTGCATGTCTACCCAGCCAAAAGCAAACAAAAACACAAACAGACCCTACAACAGCGAATCTCAGAGCCCAGGTCTAAAGGTTCGGGCTCATGCTACTGAGCTAAAAATAGCTGTCTAGAGGTTCCAGCTTGAGCTGTGAAATCCACCCCCCTTAGCAGGTTTCAACGGCCCAAGCCAGAACATCTGCACAGCTATTCTTAGCATGGGACCCAGACTCTATACCTGGGCCCTGAGACTCACTGCAGCAGGGTATATTCTTTTCAAGTGTAGACATATCCTTGGATGTGCTGCTTCCCATCATAGAACAGCTTCTATACTGAAGGCAGCTTTCACACCTAACCTTACAGCAAGTCCTTGTTTCATACGTTGCCTTGCCACACTTGTAATTAGTAAAGATTTGTGATTTTAAGTCTTAGACTCAGATTTTTAAAGACACTTGGACATGATGGCGGTCAGCCTTGCAATGCCTAAACTGAGTGAGGAGCCTACATCTCATTTTGAAAAGGGCTTTATGCACTTGAATCCAAATGGGATTTGGGCTTCTAAATTGAACACTGCTACACCTAAATACGTTTACAAATCTGGGCCTTGCTCCTTCCCAACCTTCTCTCCTGTTTAATCCTGCAGCGATTTTAAATGCTGAATGTGCCATCCTGTTTGGTGCTCTAGAAATATCTTAAATAAAAGATTGGTAGCACTGCAGGTTCAAGTGAGAAGCTGGGTTGTGAAAGAGTCCTTCATTATGTGCAGCCACCACACAACAGATACATAAGATGACTAACCACAAACTACAGCTTATACAAACATATGAAAAGGCCCCCTTTCACATAGAAGAATCATTAAAAACATGGCATAGGAAGTGAATATAACCAAAGCATTTTAATAGTTTAAAAACCCCCATCAACCTTCATCTAAGTGATAGTTCAACTGCCCAATTTTAAACTGTTCCTATTTGTGCTTTTGTGGACTTGTCTCAAATAACTGTCAACAAACTACTTAGCTTAATATAGTACCACTGAGCAAACTAGTGTTAGTCATGCAGTTGATTTGATACAGCTGCTTGTTAACAGTTGTATAATTTGCATTTTTTGTCTTCATGCTGGTCAAATAAGCAACATGAACAAGTTTAAAGGGTGGTGTAAACACACCTATAAAATTTCCAAGTTATATAGTCCTTGTTTTATGCTACAGTATTCTAGTGTTCTAAATCTTTAAAAGATGGGTTGAGATATTCAAAGCCAGCTGGCAGGTTTAGCCACACGGTTCCAATGAGAATTGACAGAAGTTGTGTGGATGAATCCTCTAGTTGGCTTTGAAAATTGTAATCAAGATCCCAGCTCATTAGTGCTTACCATCTAACATGAGCCATAGTGCCCCAAGACAGGGGCAGTTGGAAGGGCTGAAGTAGGACAAGAGTGGCAACAGGCTAGGGTGACTCAGTTCTAGCATCTGTACATCTTCTGGGACTGTTGCAAATAACGTTTTGTAGGTTTTCAACAAATTAACTCCTTGCATTGCTTTCATCTGACCTGGTCATTGAAAGGTGCAGAACAGTTCAGACCCCAGTGAGGGACTGGAAGCTTTGCCACCACTTAAGCCTTCTGGATTTAAATACTATTTTAGGGGAAAACACATGCTTAAACTTAACATTGCGTGCTATGCTCAACTGAATTTAAAATCTCAAAAATTCTGTGGCCCCAATCTTCATGTCATAAGTGCCCACAAGATGCATCCACAAACTATTAGATGCATGTACAGTGAAATAAACCTAATACATACTTTGGTGCATCTAGTTTGCAACTGTACTTCAATTTGTTGAGGGTAAGCTATACCCTTCCTTAAAACAACTTGCAGCTACAGTTTCTAGCCACAGGGTGGGGCCTTTCATTCAGATGTTTAACAGAGGCTGAAATAGTTGAGAAAGGGCCAGAAGTTGCTTCTGGATATCTTCCTGTAATATTAGTGCCATTTTTAAGGAGCACTGCAGCATAACCAGGTCACTGAGCTTTTCACACACACAGTATACTTGCCATTGCTCCAGGTGCTGCTGCCTGACCAAAATTGCTGCTTTCTGCACACCTCTCCCCTCCTTTTAGTAGGGTACAATTGTGACTCATTTCTTGTGTTGTCATAGGTTATCTGTATAACTTAAGAAATGTGGTTTGCTGCATGGCCAGAATGGCTGAGAAGGTTAGTCCTGAGAAGTTGTTTAAATGTAGTATTGAAAAATAAAGATCACAAACAGAAGTGTAACTCTTTTAAGTTTGTCTTACATATACTACGCCTGCCCTATAATAGTGAGATGTTAGCTGAGGCTTCGAATTGGCTACATTACAGCTTTTTGGGGTTTTCCTCCACATTTTTTAGCAATGTTAACCCTGTCCAGGAGCTGTAATGCTGTCTAGAGTGACACTATACATCTTCCAATGCATTGTGCTTTAGTCAGGAGTTTGTATAGTGATTGGCAAAGGCGCAAAGTTCATGCTGCATCTCTTGTAGAAATGGAAGATGCTTGGTGCACGGGCATTTGCCTATGGGGGTTGGAGGGAATTCCTACGCCTTCCTCTCAAACGTCTGGAGCAGGCCACTGTTGGAGGCAAGATGCTGAATTTGATGGACCTCAGAGCCGAACCAGAATGCAAATTTCTATGTTTAGCATATGTGAAGTCTTATGTGGTGGTTTTATATGTAAAGGCTTGGAACATTGGTTATCAGCACTAGCCTATGTTGCATAATCTTCAATGGGAGCATTTGGCTGGGTGCACAATGTAGTAAAATCTCATCCCATGGGCAAGGTAGTGATTGACAGGTACGGGGAGTGTCATTTGGTTCAAAACCGTCTAGAAAATCATAATTTCAGTGGTGTCGCCAGCTGCAGCAAGACGAGGGGACTTGCTCTTTGCACCCCACCCCTCCCATTTCCAGGTCCTTCAGTTGGGTTTCTGAGGACATCGTATTGTTCAAAAGCCCTCCTCCCACAAACGCGATGGCACCAAACATGACAAGGCTAGATCAATTATGTAGATATATATTTGAGAAAATGTTTTAAAATAAACTGTTTTTAATTATAGTTTAACACAGGGATGCATTGCTTATATTAAAAAAAAAAAAAAAACCACTGATCTTTGATAATCCTAGGGAGGTTTGCATTAACTTCTACATGTCAAGGCTATGATGTAGCCATGTCAGTCCGAGGATATTAGAGACACAAGGTGGGTGTGGTAATATCTTCTATTGGACCAATTTCTGCTGGTAAGAGAGACAAGCTTTTGAACTTACACAGACCTCTTCAGGTCTAGGAAAGGTGCTGAGAGTATCATCTAAAGACAAGATCAAATAAATGAATATCAGTGTCCTCTCTCTCAAGGGCACCACTGTTAGACATGTCACACTGCTCCTTATCCATCCCACACTCACACATCTCCAATAAGGCAGGCTGCTGGAAAGGTGAGCATCTGGTCTTTGGCACAAGCATTGTGGGACTGATGTAGGAGTGAATAGTATTTCATATATAACTGGTGAAATCAGTACGTTCTCCAAGACACATCCATGCCCAATAGCAGAGGTTTAGTTTTGGATGCACTTGATCATCCTGGAGCCATTCCATTGCTTGATAAATTGCCTCCTTGATAGCAAGTGAAAAGGTACCCCTTGACAATTTTTCTCCATTTGTCTGCTGCTTGGAAAATATTGACCAACATACTTCTGCAAGTGTCACAATCTTGGTCTTCAAATGGTAAATTTGGCATATGAATGCCTTCCAGTAAGATTATTTGGTCTTTCCAGCCAACCTTCCAGTAGTATCACAGCTTGAAGAGGCATGGGTATCTTGCAGTGCAGTGGCTTTCAATGGTCTGAGTGATAGCAACACGTCTCTGGAATGGACAGTGATTCTGTTCCCCAGCAGCAGCCACAAAAACAGAATTGAATTGGGTAAAATCTCACAGACAGCATTAGAACAGCTTGTCTTATGCACAAATCCAGAGCTCAGTAGCATCTCTCTCTGTTGCATTGATGGCATGCAAGATAATTTTCATGTCAGCCCCATGCAGCTGGCCCTGGGGACACCCTGCGCAGTGGTCCCGAGTGCTGGTGGGAGCAACCACAGCTTGGCAGCTCCCACCAGCGGGTGATCCCTGGCAGTTGGTGCCACACTGGCCCTGGTGCCCCTCTCCCCCAGCAGCGGTCCTGGGGCCTGCCGGAGCGGCTGCTGCTACTGGCCCAGCCCCCCCCACTCCTGAGCAGCAGCCCCCCAGAATGCCCCCTGAACAGGGCGCTCCTCCGAGCAGTGCCCCCCCCAGCTCCCCTCCAGCAGTGGTCCCCCAAAATTTAGCCAGGGTATTTATACTATAAGTCATGGACAGGTCACAGGCTGTAAATTTTTGTTTATTGCCTGTGACCTGTCCATGGCTTTTACTAAAAATACCCATGACTAAATCCTAGCCTTAACGATGGGAAATCAACTTGAAATACTCCTTCCATTTACAGTAACCTGTAAGATTCCGAAAATTAACCAGGTACCACGTTCTGTGCCTTAACAAATACAGCTGGTCAACAGTCACCCTTTAACTGTGTGAGGGCTGCATCTTTGAGGTGCCTGGGTCAAAGTATAACGTTTAAAAAAAATGTTTTTTTTAAAAGACACTTTCGTGATTGTTTGTACACAACTGTTCTAGGTTGGGCAGGGCGGGTACCCCGTTGTTCGTGGGCCAGGATACCCCCATTTGTCTTCACCCATTTCTTCAGCCTTCCCAGTGCCCCTGGGTTGGACCCTCCACTGCCTTGGACCCTCCCGTAGCACCACTCTTCCAACCAGGAGGCCCCAGAGCCGGGAGGGGGAGCGGATCCCTTGCATCCTGCAGCAGCAGGTGACACCATGGGCACTATGAGTCTCTAGATTTTCACCAATCAAATTACATTTCCCCAACCCCAACCCCAACCTGGCCCCAGCATTGCACCCAGGAGCTCCCAGACTGAGCTGCACAGCGCCCCCCTCTGGGCAACCCTGGGATTGGCCCCGCCCCGAGCCCCGCCCAGCGCAGCCCCTCCCACACGCACGAGTTGTGTATCCCAGGCCAGCCCTGGCGGAGTGTACCATCTTCCCGCTGCTGGGGGGCAGCGCTACTTAAGAGCCAGAGCTCGGCTATTGCTTCCTCACCCCAGCCCGGTCCTTGGCTGGCTCAGTCCCCGACTTCGCTCTGCCCCGCTGGCGCTAAAAGACACAGGGCCCTGGCTCCACAGATCCCACCCCCCGACCGAAGAAATGGTTCAGACCACTGCCTGTGAGTCGGGATGGCCTCGGACTGAACCACTGACCTGTGCTGGGGGGGAGAAGAGAGGGGCCGCGGCTGGAAACACGGGAGCAGGAAGGAGACCGAGAAGTGCCACAGTCTGTCCGCGCCGCCCCGCTCCCACTGCCGACCTCGCTTCCAGCCGGGCGAGCGCGCCTGGTGCAGGCCAGGCAGCGGGATCTCCCCCCCCCGCGGGGTGGTGTTGGTTCGGGCCGTCAGTCAGTGTCAGGCGCCCAGAGGCACGGGACGGGAGGGGTCTCGGAGAAGCTGCCGGGTGAGTGTCCAGACCCCTCCCCCCGCTGGGGGTCTCCGGGCGGGGGGGCCAGGCCGGAGCCTCCCCACCAGTGCCGCGGGGAGGGAGTCGGGCCGGGTCCGGTCCGGTCCTAGCTGGTGGGGGCAGGTGTCCCCGTGGGGGGGGGGGGATCGGGCCAGGTCTCTGCTGGGGGGGGGCAGGTGTCCCCGTGGCGTGGGGGAATCGGGCCAGGTCTCTGCTGGGGGGGCAGGTGTCCCCGTGGGGGGGGGGGAATCGGGCCAGGTCTCTGCTGGGGGGGCAGGTGTCCCCGTGGCGTGGGGGAATCGGGCCAGGTCTCTGCTGGGGGGACAGGTGTCCCCGTGGGGGGGGGATCGGGCCAGGTCTCTGCTGGGGGGGCAGGTGTCCCCGTGGGGGGGGATCGGGCCAGGTCTCTGCTGGGGGGGCAGGTGTCCCCGTGGGGGGGGGATCGGGCCAGGTCTGTGCTGGGAGGGTAGGTGTCCCCGTGGGGGGCAGGATCGGGCCAGGTTTCTGCTGGGGGGGCAGGTGTCCTGGGGGGGGGATCGGGCCAGGTCTCTGCTGGGGGGGCAGGTGTCCTGGGGGGGGGGATCGGGCCAGGTCTCTGCTGGGAGGGCAGGTGTCTCCGTGGGGGGGGGATCGGGCCAGGTCTCTGCTGGGTGGGCAGGTGTCCCCGTGGGGGGGGCAGGATCGGGCCAGGTTTCTGCTGGGGGGACAGGTGTCCTGGGGGGGGATCGGGCCAGGCCTCTGCTCAGGGGGGCAGGTGTCCTGGGGGGGGGAAATCGGGTCAGGTCTCTGCTGGGGGGGAGGTGTCCTGGGGGGGGAGATCGGGCCAGGCCTCTGCTGGGGGGCAGGTGTCCTGGGGGTGGGGTGGGATTGGGCCAGGTTTCTGCTGGGAGGGCAGATGTCTCCGGGGGGGGGGGGGGGGGAGATCGGGCCAGGTCTCTGCTGGGTGGGCAGGTGTCCCCGTGGGGGGGCAGGATCGGGCCAGGTTTCTGCTGGGGGGACAGGTGTCCTGGGGGGGGGGATCGGACCAGGCCTCTGCTCAGGGGGGCAGGTGTCCTGGGGGGGGGGAAATCGGGTCAGGTCTCTGCTGGGGGGGCAGGTGTCCTGGGGGGGGGGGCGGGATCGGGCCAGGTTTCTGCTGGGAGGGCAGGTGTCCCCGTGGGGGGGCAGGATCGGGCCAGGTTTCTGCTGGGGGGACAGGTGTCCTGGGGGGGGGATCGGACCAGGCCTCTGCTCAGGGGGGCAGGTGTCCTGGGGGGGGGAAATCGGGTCAGGTCTCTGCTGGGGGGGCAGGTGTCCTGGGGGGGGCGGGATCGGGCCAGGTTTCTGCTGGGAGGGCAGGTGTCCCCGTGGGGGGGCGGGGCGGGCCAGGCCTCTGCTCGGGGGGCAGGTGTCCCCGTGGGTGGGGGGATCGGGCCAGGTTTCTGCTGGGGGGACAGGTGTCCTGGGGGGGGCGGGATCGGGCCAGGTTTCTGCTGGGAGGGCAGGTGTCCCCGTGGGGGGGCGGGTCGGGCCAGGCCTCTGCTCGGGGGGCAGGTGTCCCCGTGGGTGGGGGGGATCGGGCCAGGTCTCTGCTGGGTGGGGGGCGGGTGTCCCGGGGATTGGGGGATAGGGCCAGGTCTCTTCTGGGGGGGCAGGTGTCCCCGCGGGGGGGGGAAATCGGGCCAAGTCTCTGCTGGGGGGCAGGTGTCCCCATGGGCCAGGTCCTAGCGGGGGCAGTCAGGTGTCAGGCAGGTTCTGGGGGGGGGCAGGTCCCGCCATGGGTAGGTCAGGCCAGGTCCCAGCAGGGGGCAGAGAGGTGCCCCCAGGTGGGGAGTTGGGGGTCAGGCTAGGGAACAGGTACCCCATGAGTAGCCCAGACTTGTTCCTGTGACACAAAAGTCGGGTGGGGTGGGGGAGCTGATCTCCCCTCTCGTCCTTAGAAGTGTCCCTGCAGGTGCGGGTTGAGGCAGGGGGCAGCATGGGGAAGCCCCCCTGGATTGGACCCTCCACTGCCTTGGACCTTCCCAGTGCCCAGGCCTGAGAACCCTGCACTAGACTCGCCCACTTGCCTAGCGAGAAAAGGGCCCAACTGAGATCTGTGACTTGTAGCCTGCATGACCCCTTCAGAAGTGACCTGGCCGCAGAGCTGAACCTGACTCCGAGCGTCTCCCGAGTGGAAAGATCAGGGCTGGTTCTGATCGGAATGGGGGGATGTTTTGGTTTCTGTTTGTTAGACTGATGTTGGGTCCTTCCTCCCGCACCTGCAGGGGAGCGGAGGAGCCGGCTAAGCTATCGCTATGAACGCCATCGTTGCCCTCTGTCATTTCTGTGAGCTCCATGGCCCTCGCACCCTCTTTTGTACAGAGGTGCTGCATTCGCCGCTTCCTCAAGGCGCAGGGAATGGAGGCAGCCCTGGGCAAAGTGAGCAAGCAGAAGACGAAGAAGGTGGCATTCAGATGAGCAGCAGGATCCGCTCACACAGCCCAGCGGAAGGCACTAGTGTGGACTCTAGTAGCCCGGGGCCAAAGAAGTCAGATATGTGTGAGGTGTGTGTGTGGCCACCCTGTGTCTTTTGCTGAACTAATGGGCTTTGGGATTCTCAGTGAAGGGCCATGTTACGGTTTGGGAGAAAAAATAGTGCACAGAAAATGGCTTATACTTGCACTGTGTCAGTGACAACAAAGGATCCCGAAACCCTCCTAAACTCTAGATTAGATCAGAATTGTTTTGCCCACCACTGACGTGCGGCCATCTCTGTAGCTAAAGCCTGACCATGGATTAACAGCAGCAACGTTTACGCAAAAGTATTAAACCAGGAAATGGAAAAAATTCTGTATCTAGTTCAAATTGTAGGGAAAATGTATTCACCCATGTGTCTGTCCATCCGTCCGTCCCCAGGGGTGCTCTTCCACTTAACTTTTAGTACCTTTCTTATGAAGCTATTCCTAGTGTGCTTTGTGTCTCTCAAGTGGTGACGGATTTCAGTATGTCAGTGGATTCATGGTTGCTTCCACCATTAGCTGTATTTGGCCAGTGGTGTAGCCAACATCAAATACAAAATCCAGTGAGGGAGGGAGTTGTGAAAGAGGTTGTAGGAAAGGAAGGATGGTCCAGTGGTTAGGACTTGGGAGAGCTGGATTCAAGTCCCGGCTGTGCCACAGACTTCCTGACCATGAGTGAGTCACTCAGCCTCTTGGTGCCTCAGTTCCCGGTCTGTAAATACTTTCCGATCTCCCCGAGGTGCGGTGAGGATATCTATGCTGAAGATTGTCAGTCATTCCGGTGCTATGGTAATGAGGCCTACATATAAGTACATTAGATAGTTGTGTCCTACTTTACTATAGGATTTTCCTTTTCTTTCTGTGGTCAGGGTTGCCGCTCTCTTGCAGCAGGACACCCTGGATATGTCAGCCATGACACAGAGACATCAATCAAATATGTCAGCCACCAGCACCCAAACCATCCGCAGCTGTTTAGCATTGTGCGTCAGGCCTGTGTCCGCAGCCTAAGTTGTGAGGTAAGTGATATGAAATGCAGGAAGAAAATCTGTGTATAGACTCTGGGAGGGGGCTGAGGACTGGGGTGCAGGAAGGGGTTTGGGGTGCTTGCTCTGGGAGGGGGCTTAGAGCAGGGTTCGGGGTGCAGGAGGGGGTTTGGGGTGCTGACTCCAGAAGGAGGCTCAGGGGTGAGGGTTGGAGTGCGGCCTCCCGCCAGGCAGCACTTACCTCTGGTGGCACAGCGAGGCTAATGCAGGCTCCCTGCCTACCCCGGCCCCACACTGCTCCTGGAAGGGGCCAACGTGCCCCATGGCCCCTGGGGGGTGGGCAGGAGGCACGTGGCTCTGTGCGCTGCTCCTCTCTGCAAGCACCGCCCCTGCAGCTCTTCCGGCCAATGGGAGCTGCAGGGGCGGTGCTTGCAGGCAGGAGCAGCGTGTGGAGGGAGACCCCTACCTCCCACACCCGTTGCCCTGGGTCTGCGCTGGCCTCTTCCGGGAGCGGCGTAGGGCCGGGGTAGGTAAGGAGTCTGCCTTAGCAGCAGCCACGCTGCGCCGCCGGAGATCGCAATCAACTGGGAGATCCTCTAGGTCTGACCAGTCGATCGTGATCGGTTGGTGACCAGTGAACTACACAGAGCTCTCTTTCAGGTCTGGGAAAGGTACTCAAAAGTGTCACAGCTAGATATAAAGGTGGAACAGATTAGTTACCATGGATGCTAAAACACTTACGCTAGAGAGCATTTGAGGTGATCAGACAATGAAAATTAAAAATTAATTCATCATAGCTCTGAAATGACTGAAACTTTATATAAACCCTTTCAGGCCTTCTTTGTGCATCAGAAAGGGCAGAGTCCAGCATTTTTTCTTTTGCAGTCACTTTTAAAAATTTCTGCCAAATACTGAGACCGAGTGTCTTGCCTTGCCTTCCGTCTCCAACCCCTTCCTGTGGCTGTGGAGGGGGCTGACATCACCCCCACACTCTGCCCCAGCCCGGTGCCCCCTCCCAGAGCCAGTACCCCATACCCCCTCCTGCACCCCAACACTCTGCTCCAGGCTCAGCCCAGAGCTCCCTCCCACACTGCAAACCCCTTGGCCCCAGCCCAGAGCCTGCACCTCCTCCCCAAACCCCCGCCCCAGCCCGGTGAAAGTGAGTGAGGGTGGGGGAGCACGAGCAACGGGGGCGGGGTGGGGGGAGATGGAGTGAGTGGGGTAGGGCTTTCGGTAGATCCTGGGTTGCCCTTAAGATTCAAAAGTGCTCTTGGGCGTAAAAAGGTTAGAGACCACTGGTGTAGTTTGAAGGCTTGTCACTTTCACCCATAGAAGTTGGTCCAGTAAGAGAGATTACCTCACCCACCTTGT